TTATTTTTTCCCAAAGTCTCAAAAAATAGACAACTAATATTTATAAATAAAAATAAAAGATAATTACAAAAAACAGATCATGCCAAATCTTATAGACAATAGAAAAAGAAGAAAGACTTCAAAATCATTCTACTTCATCTGGATACACCTGATATTAAAATTGGGAAAATATATTATTATAAAGGGAAATTATAGGATGGCACTTATGGCTTAAAAGGATAGGGTGCTGGTCTCATATGCTGAAGGTGGCAGGTTCAAACCCTACCCCGCTCAAAAAAAAAAAAAAAAAAAAATAGAAATTACAGTGTTCAACACACTAGTGAGAGAATGCCTTTAGTCTGGAAACTGGGAACCAGGGTCTTTTTTTTTTTTGTGGTTTTTGGCCGGGGCTAGGTTTCAACCTGCCACCTCCGGCATACAGGGCCAGCACCCTACTCCTTTGAGCCACAGCTGCCCCCCTCCCTGCTTTTTTTTTTTTTTTCTCCTGTTTTTTGAGACAGAGCCTCAAGCTAGCGCCCTGGGTAGAGTACCTTGGCATCAGACCTCACAGCAACCTCCAACTCCTGGGCTCAAGCAGTTCTCCTGTCACCACCTCCCAAGTATCTGGGACTACAGGCATCCACCACAATGCCCAGCAATTTTTTGGTTGCAGCCATCATTGTTGTTTGGTGGGCCTGGGCTGGATTTGAACCCCCCAGCTCAGTGTATGTGGCTGGTGCCTTAGTTGCTTGAGCCACATGCGCCGAGCCCAGGGTCTTTTTATGATATTGATCAGGCCACTTCTCTGTAGCCCTCCCTCACTACATCTGTTAAAAAAAAAAGACAATATCTGGATTTCAGATCAATATAAGAAAACTAAATAAGGGTGGCACATGTGGCTCAAAAGGGTAAGGCCCCGGTCCCATATGCCAGAGATGGCGGGTTCAAACTCAGCCCCAGCCAAAAGAAAAAGAAAGAAAAATAAATGACAGCAAATTAGCTCAAGATTTTCCAAATTCTGTTCTTTTGACTACCAGTTTCATGATCTGTCCCTTACCCCTCATAGTCCCAATACTATAAATAAAGTAAATATTTTTATTTAATAAAAATTAGTCTTGATAATGTATATATAATAAAAAGTATTTCGATATCTTTAATTGTGCTGTTTAGTGGCTTTAAGTACATTCACACTGTCGTGCAACCAGCACTATCCATTTTCAGAACCTTTTCATCACCCTAAATAGAAAAACTGTACCCATTAAACATAATTCTTTATTTTTCCCTCTCCCAACCCTGGTAACCTCTATTCTACCTTCTGTCCTTATGAATTTGCCTGTATTTGCTGGGTACCTCATATAAGTGAAATTAAATGGTATTTGTCCTTTTGCATTTGGTTTATTTTATTTTGCACACTGTTGCCATTATTCAAACATGTGATAGCATTAACAGAATTTGATTATTTTGGGGTTTTTTTTTTTTTTTTGAGACAGAGTCTCAAGCTGTTGCTCTCAATAGAGTACTATGGCATCACAGCTCACAGCAACCTCAAACTCTCGGGCTTAAGCAATTCTCTTCCCTCAGCCTCCCAAGTAGCTGGAACTACAGGCACCCACCACAATGCCTGGCTATTTTTTGTTTGTAGTTGTCATTGTTGTTTGGCAGGCTTGGGCTGGGTTCGAACTTGCCAGCTCTGGTGTGTGTGACTGGCACCCTAGCTGCTAAGCTACAGTGTCAAGCCAATTTCATTCTTTTTTAAGGCTGAATAATAATATTCTTATGTATGTGTATGTAACACTTGTTTTTTTATCCATTTGTCTATTAATGGACATTTGGGTAGTTTCATCTTTTGGCTATTGTGAATAATGCTACAGCATTTATAAAATAACTCCCAAGACAGTAAAAAAAGTATTTGTACATTGATATACACGTCCCTTATCTGAAATGCTTGGGATAAGAAGTGTTCCAGGTTTTGGAATTTTTTCTATTTTGGAATATTTGCATACAAATAATGAGATATCTTGGGGATGGGACCCAAATTAGCATGAAATTCTTTTATATTTCATATACAACCTATGCACATAGCCTAAATGTAATTTTATGGCAGGTTTTGTTTATGACAGAATTTTTGACTATGTGGTCAGGTGTGGGATTTTCTACTTGTGTTAAAACGTTTCCAATTTTGGAGCACTTTGAATTTTTGAATCAGGCATGCTCAACTTGTATCAGTTTGAATTCCTACTTTCAATTCTTTTGAGTTTTTACCTTCATTGCTACTCTTTTTTTTTTTGAGACGGAACCTCAAGCTATCCCCCTGGGTAGAGTGC